TTTTTTATCTCCGTTCTCGTTCCCAGGGCTCGCGCGGGGTCGTCCGTCCTACGAACGGACACATTTACATCTGCTCGGAGCCCACCAGCTTCCATGCCGGAAACGCATGTGTCAGCAGTGTTGAGAAGGAGCTGCATCTTGCGCACAAACGCGGCAGCCGTACGCGGGTGATGCATGTCTGGCTCTGTAATGATCTCAATGAGAGGCACCCCGACTCGATTCAAGTCCAGCCAGTGCGCGTTTCCAGGCTGGGCCAACGTCTTCGCGGTATCTTGTTCAAGCTGCACCTGCTTGATTCTCACCGTGATACTCTCGCCATCCTCGGCGGCAATGCCATCTCGGGCCATTAAAGTAATGTTACCATTCTTAGCAAAGGGTTCGTAATACTGCGTAATTTGGTACCCAGAAGGCTGATCCCACCAAAAGTAATGCTTTCTGTCAAAGTGGCTAACGGGATTAATGTCGCAGTTGAGGGCCAGCGCAGCTCGAATAGCCGGTATCAGGGTTTCTTTCTGGAAGAGCGGCTGGCTGCCTGGCATTGACGTGTCAAACAATGCCACATGACTGTTCGGTTCGTCGTTGAACGACGTGGTTGCAAACGAGAAGAGCTTGCGGCTGGTATTGAGCTGTGCATGGATTTCAATGCCGACGGTCAGCTCCCACCCGTCCACGGTCTGCGAGTCGCCTTTTGACTTCTTCGTCCCTTGTTTCTTGGCCAGTTTCGCCTCTTCCTTGAGCTGTTTTCGCAGAGGTACCGTGGTGTCTTTCGGCTTCGCAGAGAGCGCTGTAGAGGGAGTATGATGTAGTGCTTGTAGCCGACTACACGATTGCAGAGCCACAACGTTGCGTCCCAGGCCGCGGCAACTGGCCAAGCAGCCTCGATGGGGAAGCAAGCCCTCGAGGAGATATCTGCCTGCTTCCTTGACGCGGGCTCGACTCATTTCTTCGTTCAGGACTAGACAGAATGTTCGAATTTCGTCTGGATTGTTTGTGTCGGTTGCAGCCGGATGTCCCGCTGTGCAAGTCTGAGAAAAGCTCGCTGTTCAATAATGCTGGTGCCGACTGGTCATTTGGCGTCTCGGGCGCAGCTACAGGACTCCTGCATGAAGCGGCGCATCATTGAGCGGCGAGAAGGTCTGTCTGTAGAAGCCCGAGGAAACGCAAGAGCACAGACAGGAATGCGATTGCCAAGACGGCTGGCGCTTTTCGTTTCGACACAAAGCTGGTTGAGTCGCGAACCATGGGATGTTGGACTGGGCCGGCGGACCGACAAACGTGGAGCTCTTCTCTTGCGACCTGCAGTCGGGTGCGTTTTCGAGACTGCGGCGGCAGCCGCAGCCGCAGCAGCTCCTCTGTCTCCGATTGGGTCAGAGATCAGGAAGCGCCATTGGTGTGGGTCCGGGCCAATGGTCCGCATAGTCTGGCCGTCTCCCGGTCATCCATCAGACCACCCACCACAGACCACCCACCACAGACCACCACATGATGCATCTCTTCTCGACCCTCGCGCATCAGACTCGATTCCCTTTTTCCTGGCACTGCCCACCCCGGCCTTTCGACCCCAACATGATGCGCGATTAAGCACGCAGCTCCGCCGACAAAGTCACCAGACGCCTGTCCCCCCACTTGAAGCGTCGCTACTACACGATATTCTGCTCCAACAGCAATCATCATTTGTGAGCACTGGTAATAAAAGTGTGCGTCGGGCATCGTCGGGTATGCCCCATGGGATGCTACTCGTGGATCTCGCCATATACAAGAGAGAACAGACAGGCTAAATTGCTATCGGGTTGTTGGGTTGTCGGACTTGTTCGTTGAGTGAAGCCCAAGGATGCCATGACTTGGCTTGGGGACGATACTTGGGCTCTTGACGAGCAACAAGAACACCAAGAGAAGCCCGCGAACCGAACGAGCCAAGCGCATCGTGTCATCACAACCCGTACGTGTGAATGAGCGACAAGGAGGGTGCGGCTGCGGCTGCGTCTTCGTCTGCCGCCGCCGCCGCCGCCGCGTACAAAGGCATATCAATGCGTCTCCGATACGCCAACACGTGTCATTGCCTCATTATGCGTCACTTTGTGGCCGGCATGTAGCCTGTTGGATCCGCGCAGTGGGTGTCTGCCGCTCTCCTGAGGGTGTTTATCCCACTGTGTCATGGCATACCTTCATGACCAAGTACTCCAATCTTCCTGGGCAGACATGCACGTTTTGCCGGTGCGACAACGAATTGTCTCGCAGCCCGCCGTCCCCGTACTGTACGCGCCAGCGTCTCTGTTCATCCTACATAAGTACAATACCTACATATGTCTCATCGCGTGTCAACTGCTCTCACTGCAGCTCAGTCTTTAATCGCTCAGTCCAGCTGCTATATTTCAGTTGGTTGGTGGCATTTGGTCCTGTCATGGTCGTTGCCATCGTCGGTGCTCTTCCAACCGTTTGTCCAACCTTTTCTTCTCCTTCGTTTCTTCTTACCTCACTACGGTCCTCCTCATGCACATGCTGCATAATCTGCGAACGGAGCACAGCCTTTTCAAGACCATCGATAAAATGTGTGCAGAAAGTTATGATGGCCAGACCGCGGACACGTCAACCGTTTTCCACGACACCGAGCATGGCGAGCGCGAACAAGGGGCATTTCTACAACCAGAAAATGAAGTCGAGGACCCATCGATCCAGCAAGATGACAATGGAGCGGACTGTACCAGAGATTCTACCAAACATGCCACAGCCTCTTGCTCCAATGTCCAGACACCAGCGCCTCATGTTGAAATTCTATCCCCTCGCCCATCGCCGCATGTGCCTGGCAAGAACCGCATGGCGGCTGTTGTAGAAGACTGGGAAGAAGAAGACTCCCGCAGTCCTGCCGAATACATCTCGCCGTCACCGTCATGTGTTACCACACCAACTCTCGTCGAGGCTTCACCCAGTCCAGATGTACAAGAAAACACCGTCAAAACTGTCAAATCAGAGCCATACAGGCTTGACCACGGAAATAAATCACCTCGACGGCAGATCGAGCCCTCAGACATTCCTACTCAGCAAAGTGCCCAGCAGAACACGTCGAGACGTCGACCGAGTGTCATGGACTATCTGGTTTCTCATGGACCTGTCAAGTATCCAATGTCAACCTCGCGAGCAAGCAGCTCTTCATGTCGTAGAGTACCTTCAGAGGGGCAGCACTGGCAAAATTATGACCGTCTGTCGAGTAATAATTACCGGCTTCAGCCTGACGTCTTTCCTGGCTACCAAGTGGAAGAGAGGAAGCAACAGATGGGGTGGACTGCTCAGCAACCTTCTATCCGGTCGGCTGACAAAGTTTTGAATGTTCACGACGAGCGTAGCTCAGAGGTACCCCACAAGAGGAGCTTCAGTCAAACCTGGGAACAGAATGGTCTGCCTGTACCATCCTCGAATCACAGCATGTCAAGTAATGATAGTCGCCCCGACATGTGCACAAGCCAGGATTATCCTGATCTTGCTAGCCATCTGGACAATGTGGCACCTAGCGGCTATCATCTCTTGGCCACGAAACTGTCGGGTGATTCCTGCGGCCAACCCATCTCACCGATCTATCGTCGATTTGATGCCCTGAACCATCGTCTCTTATTGTACATGCAGGACGAAATTAATGATCTGGAACGCCAGCTTACCTCGTTGGAGGCCAAGGACACAGTCAAGAGAAGCTATGCAGGCGGCGTCATGCCCGCGTCTCAGCGTCAAGATCGCCGAATCGACAGTAGCTTGGCACACCAAAAGACCGAAATTCTCGGCCTCATTGGCTACAAATTGAGTCAATACAGTAAGTAGATTCTTGATTTCTGCACGAACTCTCCTGTCGTTTTGCTTTTGGATTTCACAGCTAATCATTCGACAGATCATGTTCTTGCGTCGTATTGCAAAGTACAAGATATTCCAGCACCAACATGGCGAGATATCTATACGTACAAATCCTATCTTGCCACCAGCAAGCTGATTGTGGACGATGAAACACGTTTTCTCGACGCTTCAAACGACCTCATCTCATTAAACAGTCAGAACCAGGCAACGGATGATCTCAACAGCACTGCCGATGGGCCAACGCCAATGCCCGAGACAGCCGAGGAAGAACAGTTTCAAGGTTTCTTCGGGGACAATGGCGGCGCACCATCTGCACGGCTTGATCAGGGTGTAACACACAAGCCTGACGATGCGCTGTTCGTGCGACTTGCTCTTTCTGGTACATGTGTCGTACTTGTGCCTATAATGATCTTTTCGGTCATACCTAGCTTCGTAGGGCGCATCGCGATTGTTCTTCTCGTTGTACTCGGCGTCAGCATCATGGTCGATCAATATGGCTTGCTGCAAGACGTCGAACGGCACAGACGGAACTGGATGGTGTACTTTGGATTATACTGTGGTGCTATGACTGTGTTGGCTGGGGCAGTGAATTGACGATGCGTCTTTGCTATCACCTGTCCAGACTTCGTCCCTTATTCTCTCTGTGGAATTTTTTGTGTACAATGACGGAACAATTAGCAGTGGAGTCCTGATATATATATATCTTCATAGGCTTGTAATCGAATTGTTGTTGGGTTCTTAGAAGAACTCGAACTAGCTTATTGACTATTTGCATAATCTCTAGATAATCTCCTCGCCCATTCATCGTAGCGAGCAGGGAATTGCAGTCCCTTCGTCGCTGGTAATTGTTCTTCCGTGCGCGACAGAGCTTTACACCTCTATTAAGTTTGGGAAATATCTTTATCTAATGAATATCGAGTGATCGACCAATAATTCTTAGGGCGAATGGTTTAGTGGTATAATACTCCCTTAGCATGGTTTAACCGCCTGGGAGTGGTCCAGGGTTCGATTCCCTGTTCGTCCATGGAAATAACTTCACAAGAAATTTTGCTTGTGTTCCGACTTTTTTTTAGCCCTTGCACGTTAAAGAATGCTATTTTTCTTCACTTCTGGCTGAGCTGCGTTTTCTAAACGACTTTGCTTCTCCACACAGACAGCTAATTGGGCGAATGGTTTAGTGGTATAATACTCCCTTAGCATGATTAAAAATCTGGGAGTGGTCCAGGGTTCGATTCCCTGTTCGTCCAGAAAGTGCTTCATGGTTGCGAAATGCAAACATGTTTCCTTTTTGCGCGATGTTTGCATTGCACTGCTGCTTTTCGTTTTGCATCTTGTCACCCACTAAGCATTCTGCTTTTTGGACCACCGATCCGCGGAGCCCATTGGTCTTGGGCCAAGATGTCCGACGGACGATCCAGAGTCGTTTCGCGAAAACTGCCCGCCCTTGAATGCTGATATCATACTGCACGAGATGTTGTGGTGTTTATTCTTACGACTGTAACTAGGAAAGTGAAATCTTAAGCGTACAAGCCTTTATGTTGCATCGGGGAGGGGGTGATGGTAGTAATTCCCGTTCGGTTGCCCCACCTCGACTTCGACTCAGACGGACTGACTGGCGGGGCACAGAGGTTCCAGGAAATTCTGGGGGACTGGCAGACGTTGAGTTGTGACTCAAGTTAATCCCATCCCATCGCCGCAAGGGACCATCACCGACACCTCTTTCGCCGCTGCACGTCCCTGCCCTCGTCAGCAGAAGGACACGTCATCCCTCCATCATGGCGTCACAGACTAGCAGCACCGCAGGAGATCTTGCTCACCAGGTCCTCCATGCGCTGGACAAGAAATCACCCCTCCTTTCCTCCGAAGCCTTTGCCACGATACCTTCGACCGAGGTCAAGGGCGCTCTTGACAGACTCGCTTCGCGTGACATGGTCAAGTACGAGACCATAGATCGCGAGGAAGCTCTTCTGGAACCCGAAGGCGAGCAGATTGCCGCCAATGGCAGCCACGAGGTCCGCGTTTTTGAGGCCCTGCGTGTCGCTGTGGAGGGTTTAACCATCCAGGAGCTTGAGAAGGCTATCGGCGACAAGAATGTCGTCAAGATTGGCCAAGGCAGAGCCTTTAGGGAGAAGTGGATATCAAAAACTCAAGGTAAGCTTTCCCCGTCCATTTGTTTGTCGTATTTTCATGGTGCCAAAAAAAAAAAAACGGTTGGGCGAAATTTGTGACTGACGTGATCCGTGCATGTCGCAGACGGTAAACTGAAGGCGGCAGTGCGTAGAATCCTTACATCCGGTGAGGCAATGGCGTGATGGGCGAGGATGTGGAATGGCTGACGTGGAAGCCCCTCGATAGAAAGAATCTGTCCAAGACACGACCAAAGAGCAGATGCAGACCATTCAGTCGACGCGAACGTATCCTGATGCCAAGATGCTGGCCGATCTGAAGAAGCGCAAGCTTGTCCGGACCCAGAAGATCATCAGCTACAAGATCGAAAAGGCTGACAAATTCGCCCTTAAAATCCCCGAGGTCGCCACCGACTTGACCGCCGACATGATTGCTAGCGGCTCATGGAAGACTGCTAATTTCAAGGGATACAACTTCAAGGCTTTAGGTGCTGATCAGCAGTCTGGAGCTTTGCATCCTTTGAGCAAGGTTCGGTCTGAGCTGAGGCAGATCTTCTTCGAAATGGGTTTCCAGGAGATGCCCACAGATAAGTAGGTGGCGATCATCTTGATTTCGGCTACGTGAGCCGGTTGCTAACGGGTTGTCAGGTTCGTTGAATCTGGCTTCTGGAACTTTGATACGCTTTTTGTTCCGCAACAACATCCCGCCCGCGATATGCAAGATACTGTACGTATTCTAGTGCTCAGTCGAAGGCCAAGGCTCGTCACGATTACCAATGAGGCTAATAGTGTGGTTGCAGTTCTATGTCTCTGATCCCAAGGAGGCAGATTTCCCCAGGGCGGAAGATGCCAATGATAAGGGAGACTATAAGGCTTATTGGGATAACGTGAAGGAGGTCCATCAGGTATGATATGAACAGAAGCAGAGAACCAATTCTGGGCCTAGCAAAAGTTTAATACTTGGCTTAGGAGGGCAAATTCGGGTCGATAGGTTACCGATACCCTTGGTCCGGAGAGGAGACTCGAAAGCTGGTCCTTCGAACGCACACCACAGCCATCAGTGCGAACATGCTGTATAAATTGGCCCAGCAGAAGGGTCCTGATGGTCGACCTCCCCCGGCTCGCTATTTCTCCATTGATCGTGTGTTCCGCAACGAGACTGTAGATGCCACTCACTTGGCAGAGTTCCACCAGGTCGAGGGTGTCATTGCCGACTATGATCTTACCTTGGGCGGCCTCATGGAGGTAAGATGGCAGAGAAAGCTGCCCCGTATCAGCTAAGATTACGAGAACATTGTCACTGACCTTGGCAGTTTATGGATATCTTCTTTGGCAAGATGGGCATCACCGATCTTAAATACAAGTGTGCCTATAACCCTTGTGAGTGGCCGCCAAAGTCGCATCCCATTTTCTTCGTAATGACGCTGACGAAAGTTGGCGATAACTAGACACGGAACCTAGCATGGAAATTTTTTCGTATCGTAAGTCAACCATCTTATGCGACCACCCGAAGGGCACCAGTGGAATCCATCGCTAAAATCATGATAGATAAGGGCCTCGGGAAGCTGGTTGAGATTGGTAACAGCGGCATGTTCCGAGCAGAAATGCTGGAATCTATGGGTCTTCCGTAAGTGATGACAAGTCTCGCTTCGCAAATCTTCAGGAAATCGAAGCTGATTATCGTGTAGTAAGGACATGCGAGTGTTTGGTTGGGGTCTGTCCCTCGAACGACCGACCATGATCAAGTACGGCATTTCCAACATTCGCGAGTTGTTGGGTCACAAAGTCGATCTGAACTTTATGCGAAACAGCCCCGCAGTGCGTTTGGACAAGGAATGAGCGGAACAGGAGAGGGCGGGGGGGGATGAAATGAAAAGAGAAAGAAGGAAGGAAAGAAAGAATGAAAGAAAGAACAAAGAATCAGGACATGCAGAACGAGGCCTGGGCTTTCCTTGTTCGACATGACGGAATGGGGAAAATCGTCAGAGACATACGATGTGTTTAGAAGGGTGTTGAATACCATGATTGATAGAGGCGACATGTTGATGTTTTGATGCCACAGCTACTAGTTTCTTTCTGGGACCTTTTATGTATGTGCGACACACGTGCTCGCATCCATGCATGCATGATGAAGAGTTTCAGCCTCGAGGAACGCGACTAGATTCCACTCACTTGGTCAGCGTGGATGCTGCGAGAACGAGGCACAGAAAATACCATGACGCGCAAAGCAAAACACATGTTTGTTGCTGTTGCACGTGGCCCTGGTAGTCCTCAGCCGAGACAGAAAGAAGGCCAAGCAAGCATCACCCGGCAATTCAGTCGAACGAGTCGAACGAGTCGAACGAGTCGAACCGAGTCAAATCGAGTCAAATCGACCAACCCCGTTTCGCAAAGAACCCACAAACCCGTGTTTTCTGACCAGATCTCGATTAGCACCAGTGCGTCATTCCACAGGCTCACACGGCAACCCGCTGCCGCCTTGCCCCTGCTTTTTACCCCACGAATCGGACGATTTGGCCCGCCATCAAATGTCGTTGTCATGACATCATCATCATACATGTGTACATACTTTATGCATATACTTGGGACTTTTTTGGTTCCCCGTTTCTCCTCAGCAACGACGTCCTGCAGACAAGCCAGAGCCACAAGAGCCCTAATTTCGCCTTATAAAGGTCCAGCCTGGTGCTCATCTTCCCTTGATTACCACTCGATCCCCCCCCCCGTCACACCGTAAAGCGCTTTTTGAACCCAAATCTTACTCTCCATCTCTCTCCACGAGAGTGTGTGCTTTGATTCCACAAACACGCCGCTTTTCACAGCACAGAATGTCTTTCCTCACAGAGCGCGTCGTCCGAGCTGCCCTGCCCCTGGGCAGAGGCATGGCCGTCCAAGCACCCCGGGCATTCAGCACGTCTCCTTCATTGAGAAAGACGCCTACGGAAAGTGTGGTCGATGGGCTCAAGTCCGTTGATCGGGCCGTCACAGATAATGTTGTTCTTCCTGGTCTGGATGCGGCCAGTGAGTGTTGCGTTTTCTTTGCCGTGTTTGGGGCCACTCTCTAGGATACGTGTTGCTGACCTTTTGTGTGTGTGTGTGTGTTGTTGAACAGCTTCGGCAGGGAGCAAAATCAAAAAGGAAGCCGAGAAAGTCACAAAGGGAAATAAAGGCAAGGTCGAGGAACTGAAAGGCGAGGCACGGGGCAAGGTGGAGGAGCTCAAGGGCGAGGTCAAGGGTGCTGCTGCTGAGACGCGGGGCAAGGCGAAGGGTGCGGCCGAGGAAATGAAGAAGAAGTTGTGAGGTTTGATGTTGCCGAGATCAAGGAGTTGTCTCTGAACGGAGTTGGGCTGATTTTCACAATTGAAAGGGTATTCCATGTGCATGAACCTTGCGGTGTTTGGGCAGAGGATGGTTGTTGTTGTAGCCAGTACTCTTTATGCCATGCTGCGTCCAATGTCGAAGCTGAAATACAATCTTGCAACATGCACCGAGACGAGGGACGTGAATCAAGGTGCCGAGACGGTCCTTGGTGCTCCTCGCCAGCCAAACCCTGTGCATCAGTGGCAATCAGTGGTTGATGCACGTTGTTGTCTTCACTTGATAAAAGACGGGGGACGAATAACACGGGCAATTTTGAGGTTGTCTGTGGTCAGACCCAGATTGAGCAGTGTACTCCTGTGACAGGAAAACAACCACACAAACATATGACTACATACCTATGCAGGAAAATACTTGCTGCCGCATAATGAATGCGCTGCCGCAATTGCCACGTCTACGTAGTGCGGAAGTTCTGCCTTTTCCGACGATGAGTCTAGTACAGGGTAGGCGGATATTTGGGTCGCGGAGGGCGATGACGTACGTCGGTCACGGTCAACGCTTCCCGCCCCACCAGACTAGAGCCGACTCCAACGGGCACGCGATGCGAGGTGGGTGATGCATCCATCACTTGGCCGTTGACATCAGCCTCCGCGACGACCTCCCACGCCTGCGGCCTCGGGCGCCATCTCAGGACAATCCAGATGATGCACGGTTCTACAGGATGAAGCAAAGTCCTGTCTCCGACCATGCCGCCCAAAACCCCCGCAACCGCCGTCGCCATCTGCACGTCCACAAGCTCGCTTTCC